ATTTGGTCAGTTGACTTCTAGGAAGTAGGTTTCATCTATAAAAAGTCTCAACTAACATCCTTTTGAAACTTACTGTTCTTTTTTTTTTTTTTTTTCTTTTGAAGCTCAAGGGATGTTGGGCAGTTTACAGGGATGTAAACAAGGTGGAATTTCTTGGAAAGGTTACAGATAAGCTAGTTAAACATCAGGATAGATGGAATTGGGCAAGGGACACTACCAAGAGAATTTGGCAGTATTACTTAAATAAATGCTTGCTTGGGAGCTCCTGTTCCTAAAATGTTTCTTGTTGAGAGAAAATTAACAGGACTAGAGCCTGTTGGCAGAGAGCTAGCCCAGACACCCGCTGACCTCTGCCTGTTTTTTGTTTCCCACTTTGGTCACGTTACTTTCAGAATTGCACTTTCCTTCGGCCTCTTGTCATGACTGCTGCCGAAAGCGTGTTGTATGGATGTGAGGTTATGGAGTGATGGCCCAGCGGGGCAGAGGAGAGGAAGAAACATGTGCTTTGTACTAGATAAGTACACTCATATGTTTAATAAAACACTTCTTATTGCGGTAACTTGTGGAAGTATTTTTGTTTTTCTTTTTGAGCTGATGTAATTACTTTATCATCTGAGCAGTGTAGCATAGTAAGACTTGCCTTTGAATCCTACCTCTTCCTGTTTTGAGTTAGGATCTTGAGCAAGCTATGTCAGCTCTGAGAACCTCCATTTCCTCATTTATTAAGAGAGAACTGTGTTATTTCTTCATAGGCTTGTTGTGAAGATGGAATTAAATAAAGTCTGTAAAATATCTAGCATTGCTATTAATAAGTGGATTATAAAATGGACCTCAACATTGAATTCTTAGCAGTATTTGATCATGTAACTGAATCGAATATCTACTATTTGACTTCAAAATGAGACTTTCCAAAGGCCTATGGCTATTTTTTGGCCAACTTGATCAGCTCTGTTTCTTGTGAGAGGAGACTGGTTCAAAGATGTTTTTGACAACTCCAAAAAGTAAGCGAGGCCTTGAATGAAAAGAACCAGTTCTGAGATAAGTTAATGAAATAACATGCAAATAAAAATTCTATATCTGCTTTAACTGTGTTTCTAAATGAGACCTACCAGCAGCTGTGAAGAAGGCTCCACTCTTACAGCCCCACCCCTGGTTTCTAACTGACTTATTTTCTGTACATGCAAAGTAGTTTCCATCTGGAGAGCTATGAAGTACTTAAAACTCAGTCAGCCAGTATGTTTGTTTGCAAGTATTTCCATTCTTGATGATTTTCTGAAAGAAAGGACAGTGGCTAAAAAACAGGTTTTTTTTGTTTTTAAAAAAAATGTTGTCATGTAGTTTCTGAGCCCTAGCAGGAGCCGGCCAAGCCATTCTGCAGTGGAATGAAACTCCATCCTTTGTAGATCCTCTGTCAGGCAGGAGGGACTTGCATTTTGGGTATGTATGTTCACCTGGGATGTCAGGTGTGCAGTGTTCTTTTGGCACATTGTTGAGACAGGAACAGGGCGTTGAAGAAGTCAGAACTAGTTTCCTCTCCTTGGGCAGTGAGTTGACCCACTAGGTATTCAGTAAACATTTGTTGCTGGTGAAGGGTAAGGTAGTACACAATACTGGGGAAGCCAGCACAACTTGTCCAAGGCAAGGTCACGGAAGCTCCATAGACACATCCAAACCTGCTGAGGGCAAGTTACTAAGCTGAGGGCTGTGGGGACCATGGTCTGGGGGATCATCTAGCTCAGCTGGCATAACATAGTTTATAAAGAAAATGTTCTACCTTCTACTTTGGTGAGTAGCGTCTGGGGTCTTAAAAGCTTGTGAGTGGCCATCTAAGATACTCCACTGGTCTCACCCCGTCTGGAGCAAGGGAGAATGAAGAAAACCAAAGACACAAGGGGAAGATTAGTCCAAAGACTAATGGACCACAACTACCACGGCCTCCACCAGACAGTCCAGCACAACTAGATGGTGCCCAGCTACCACCACTGACTGCTCTGACAGGGATCACAATAGAGGGTCTTGGACCGAGCTGGAGAAAAATGTAGAACAAAATTCTAACTCACAAAAAAGGCCAGACTTACTGGCCTGACAGAGACTGGAGAAACCCTGAGAGTATGGCCCCTGGACACCCTTTTAGCTCAGTGATGAAGTCACTCCTGAGGTTCACCCTTCAGCCAAAGATTAGAGAGGCCCATAAAACAAAATGAGACTAAAGGGGCATACTAATCCAGGGACAAGGACTAGAAGGCAGGAGGGGACAGGAAAGCGGATAATAGGGAACCCAAGGTCGAGAAGGGGAGAGTGTTGATATGTCGTGGGGTTGGTAACTAATGTCACAAAATAATACGTGTATTAATTGTTTAATGAGAAGCTAGTTCTGTAAACCATCTAAAGTACAATAATAAAAAAAAGTTTTTTAAAACCTTTGTTGCATTGATGAACAAGCAGTTTTTAAGTCATCTAATTCTGTCAAAACACTTCCATCCAGACCACTGCCATCACCTCGCCCATTTGAGGGAATGCAAATTCCTCAATACACTAGGAAGAGCAAGAACAGCAATGTGAAACCACCCAGTATCACAGCCTAGTGATGGGTGTGGCTCTGAGGAGGATGCTTCTCTAGGTATACAGGTGAGAAATGAAGCTCTGTTATGGATTGAATTGTGTCCCCCAAATATGTGTTGTAAATCCTAACTTCTATGCCTGTGTTTATAATCCCATTTGGGAAAAGGTTGTCTTTGTTATGTTAATGAGGTAGAATTAGTGTAGGTTGTATGTTGAGTAAGTCTCTTGAGATATAAAAAGAGATTAAACCCAAGCTAGCAAACAGAGATGGGGTAAGATAGCTGTCCAGACACATGGAGAAACAGGAAACAGAAGCTAAAGAAATAAGGACCTTTCTCCAGAGCCAACAGACAAAGCCTTCCTGTACAGCCAGTACCTTGAATTCAGATTTCTAGCCTCCTAAACTGTGAGACAAAAAATTTCTGTTTGTTAAAGCCATGCACTTGTGGTATTTCTGTTAAAGCAGCACAAAATAAGACAGGCTCCTTGGGAAATTAGTACTTTATTGGGTTTAAGTAGAGAAAGGCTAATAATTAGTATCAGATGTGGAGTAATAGATTTGTTTTTAAAAATGCAATTGGACCTGGACAGAGCTGGAGAAAAATGTAGAACAAAATTGTAACTCACACACACACAGAAAAAAAAGACTTAATGGTCTGACAGAGATTGGAGAAACCCAGAGAGTATGGCCCCTGGACACCCTTTTAGTTCAGTAATGAAGTCACTCCTGAGGTTCACGCTTTAGCCAAAGATTAGACAGGCCCATAAAACAAAACGAGACTAAATGGACAGACCAGCCCAGGGGCAAGGACGAGAAGGCATGAGGGGACAGGAAAGATGGTAATGGGGAACCCAAGGTCGAGAAGGGGAGAGTGTTGACATGTAGTGGGGTTGGCAACCAATGTCACAAAACAATACGTGTATTAATTGTTTAATGAGAAGCTAGTTTGTTTTGTAAACCTTCATCTAAAGCACAATAAAGAAAAAATGGCGGTTGGAGGAAATTGCAAAACTCTTACTGATAAAAGTTTTTGAGCATGCATCCTCAGTTGATACTCATTTATTTAGTAATTATTCTGTTACTATTTTAGTATATCAGGTACATTATAAAACATTCAAAAATAGAAACGAAAAAAGGATATTAAGAATAAATATGAAGGGTTGTGCTAGTAATTCTTTCCTCCAGTGGATCATCTTGTGTACCCCAAGGGTGTGTGCTTCTCACTTTGGAGACTGCTGCTCAGTGGGGATCCCTAAATTATTTAACACCCTTCCCACAGCCCAGTGGTTTATTCCAGAGGTAAAGGAGACAAAAGCACCCTGAAGGAGTTGTCTTCCCATGTGTCCATTCCCTGCCAGCCCCATTGCTCTGATAAGAAAACATTCAGAGTTAGGGTTTTCAAACGTTTTTCCTTTTAAGCACAGCTTTCCCCACTATGAAATTGCTTCCTTTCTCCTCACTACAGCAGTTGGCCATCCAGAAAGCCCCTTTTGGTAGGAACTGGTAGTCTCTCCTTTCCCTGTTTGTAGTTTTCCTGCTACTCTTGCTCAATTATGTACCAAGAATAAACGCAAAGGTGGAAGTGAAAACTTGGCACGATGCGTATGGGCCTGGCTCTGTGCCAGGGAGAACGTGGTCTCAGTTTATCTGTCATTATTTTCTTGCCTGTTGCTCATTCCCAGAGTACTGCTCTATTCCTCAGACTCCTCGAGTGCAGTTTGAATTAATTTCTTTGGAGGAGGACATGGGATCTGGTGGGAAGATGAGGATGAGGTGCCAGGTACTGGAGACTGGCCCAACAGCCTGGGATAGCTTGTTCAGTAGACACCTGGTGAGCTCCATGCTGGGGTATGGAGGCCTGGGAAGTGCAGTGGGTCTGGACAGCCCAGATATGTTAGCAGGCAAAGGAAGGACACCCAGGTGCAGTGCCTAGAATCCAGGAGAACCCTGCTCTGGCTCCTCAGATGGAGACCTGGAGATGGTTTCTTGTCTGTCTCCTGTCCTCTGCTGACCATGGGCTTAGTTCCATGACTGCCTTAGCCCAGGAAACCAAAGTCACACCACTTCCAAGAAATGAGACCCATGGTCTTGTGTCACTGAGCAAGCTTAGACTAACCTTGGAAGCCAAGTTCTTGTATGGACAGAGCCTTATATATGTTCTCTTACCTCCACTATACAAGTTGATGTGGCTGTCCAGCCAGTCAGTACTCTCTGCCTCCATGGTTTAGAAATAATATATTTTGAACACTGAAGTGAATTCCATGGCTAGGCTACAGTGTGGAAGTGTGGAAAGAGCATAGGCTTTGGAGACAGGCACAGCTACATGATCAGGGTCAACAATGTCATAATAATAGCTAATATGTTTATTATTTACTATGTGCCAGACACTGCTAAATGCTTTACAAAAATTATTTCTCTTGATCCTTGAAATAATCCTTTGAGGTAGGTAACTATTTTCATTTCACATGTGAAGAAACTGGCTTAGGTTAAAATAACTTGCTTATTGTTATAGCTGATGGGTGGCAAGCTAGGATTCTCACCCAGGATCATACTTTCAGAGTCCTCACTCTTAACTGCTGCAGCCTGTTTCCTAATCTTTAAAATCAGGCCATTATCTAATTCAGAGAGTTGAGCTTTAGATATAGTTTGTAGCGGGTCTGGCACACAGGCAGGACTTAGTAAATACTACCTGTTATCATTCATAGAGAAAATCATATGCCATTTTTGTTCAGTAGTTTTAGAATGAAATAATCTTGGATAGTCACCTATAACTTGAGCAATATCTTAGAGTCGCCTACCAAACCTGCCAGCTTTCAGCAGCCTCAGGTCTCCATAAGATTACTCTTTTTAAAATGACTCCCCCCTGACTTCACCAGATTTGGGGGGCAAGGTCTTAAGATTCTGCACTTGAAGCCAGGTTCCCACATTCATTCATGCAACACCCATTTTCCTCTGTGTGCTCCGATGCAACACTGGAAGAGCTCACTCATCTATGCCAAGAAATTTGGATAACCGCTACCTGGCCAACTGACAGGAAGAGATCCACATTTGTGCCCATTTCAAAGAAAAGTGATCCAACAGAATGCGGAAATTACCTAACTATCATTAATATCAGACGCAAGTACAATTTTGCTGAAGATAATTCAAAAACGATTGCAGCAGTACATCAACCGGCAACTGCCAGAAATTCAAGCTGGATTCAGAAGAGGACGTGGAACGAGGGCTATCATTGCTGATGTCAGATGGGTCTTGGCTGAAAGCAGAGAATTACCGGAAAGATGTTTACCGGTGTTTTAGTGACTATGCAAAGGCATTCAACCATGTAGTTCATAACAAAGTACGGATGACATTGTGAAGAATGCGAATTCCAGAACAATTGTTCTGCTCATGAGGAACGTGTACATAGACCAAGAGGCAGTCATTCTAACAAAACAAGGGGATACTTCGTGGTTTAAAATCTGGAAAGATGTACATCAGGGTTGTATCCTTTCACCATACTTATTCAATCTGTATGCTGAGCAAATAATCCAAGAAGCTGGACTATATGAAAAAGAATGTGGCATCAGGATTGGTAGAAGGCTCACTGACAACCCGGGATATGCAGATGACACAACCATACTTGCTGAAAGTGAAGAGGACTTGAAGCACTTACTGATGAAGATCAAAGACTACAGCCTTCAGTACGGATTACACTTTAACATAAAGAAAACAAAAATCCTCAGAACGGGACCAATAAGGAACATCATGATAAACGGAGAAAAGACTGAAGTTGTCAAGGATTTCATTTTACTTGGATCCACAATCAATGACCACAGAAGCAGCAGTCAAGAAATCAAAGGACATACTGCATTGGGCAAATCTGCTGCAAAAGACCTCTTTAAAGTGTTAAAAAGCAAAGATGTCACTTTGAGGACTAAGGTGTGCCTGACCCAAGCCATGGTATTTTCAATCACTTCATATGCATGCGAAAGCTGGACAATGAATAAGGAAGACTGAAGAAGAATCGATGCATTTGAATTATGGTGTTGGTGAAGAATAATTGAATATACCATGGACTGCCAGAAGAACAAACAAACCTGTCTGGAAAGAAGTACAGCCAGACTAAATGGGCACACCAGCCCGAAAGCAAAGACGAGACGGCAGGAAGCAACAGGAAAACAGGATGAATGGAAACCCGGAACCCGGGGTGGGGAAGAGGATAGTGTTGACACATCACGGGGTCAATATCACAAAACAATTTGTGTATTAATTGTTTAATGGGAAACTAATTTGCTCTGTAAACTTAGACCTAAACTACAATTTAAAAAAAAAAAAAAGTACAGCCAGGATGCTCCTTAGAAGCCAGGTGGTGAGACTTTGTCTCCCGTACTTAGGACATGTGATCAGGAGGGACCAGTCACTGGAGAAGGACAGCATGCTTGGTAAAGTAGAGGGTCAGCGAGAAAGAGGAAGACCCTCAATGAGATGGACTGACACAGTGGCTGCAACAGGGGTCTCAACAATGATTGTGAAGATGGCACAGGACCAGGCAATATTTTGTACTGTTTGTACATGGGGTCACTATGAGTTGGAACTGATTCGATGGCACCTAACAACAGCAACTCTTGTGCTAGGTGCTGGGAATAGAGAAATGAAGACACAGTCCTGGCCTCTCGGGGGCTCAGAGCCTTGGTGGGGGAGGAGGGTAGCAAACAGAAACAGGCACTTATGATACAGTGTGATCAGGACCGAGCCCCCTTTACCAAGTGGCAGTCAGCACAAGATTGACTGCCACTTTGATTCCTCTGCTCTGACTGGTGGATTCAGGATTGAGTAGAACCCAATTGGGTATGAAAGCTCCAAGGCTGAGGGAGTCCTGCTAGGTGCTGGGCCCAGATGAGCCAGCCCTCAGTGTCAGGAGCCTAGGACCCGAGGAAAACTGGTGCAGTGTCCATCCCGGTTCATGTCATCCCCTGGAAAGCCATTCCCTGTCCGCAGTCTGATTTCCATGAGAACTTGTCCAAGGTCTTGTAACAGTTGGCTGGTGTCTCTGATTCACTGAGAAGCACCTGATAGGCAGCATGGTTCCTTTAGCACCTAGATGCTTTTCCGCAAGTGTTCATGTATTTCTTCATAATCATGGTCTTCCTTAACTGCAAAACAGTACAAGTGAAGGAGGATCTTTGGCCTTAGACAAGCCCCTTCTCTCTTTAGGGCACAGTTTCCTTATCTGTATAGAGAATGCGTTGGTCTAGATGCTATCTAAGATCCTTGCTAGCCCAGAAATCACAATTTTTTTCTGTCTGAATACTGCAACCCTTTCGTTGTGAATGAAACATTGATAGTTCCTGACTCCATGGCAGAGACTTCTGATTCAGTAGGTCTAGGGTGGGGCCCAGGAATCTACATGATTTGATGAGCAGAACAGGTGACTGTTTTGTAGGTGTTCCAGATCCCTGCTTTAAGAACCACTGCTCCATACTGAACACTTCCATCCCCAGGTAGTCTTGTATGCTGCAGGAGGGTAGTATGTTGGGAGCTGAACTTGCCTTTCTCGCCAGGGCTCTGCAGCCCCTTGGGGAGAGGAAAAGTTGGGACCCTTAAGCCTTAGCCCACCCCATATAGGCCTGTCCATTAAACTGGGACCACAGGAGGGTGTACCTGTGGGTATCAGCAGCACTGCCAGAGGTAAGGAAGCAGAGGAGCTGGAGGTGGGGAGGGGAGGAGCAAGGACAAGGGTGAGCAGGGCTGCTGGGGACTCACCTGGATCCCACATGTTGGGCTTAGTGCGCATATGGCCCTTGTGAGCAGGAAACCTGCTGTACACATTTGAGCTATCCTTGGAGAACTCTGGCAAGGTCTTTGTCTTGGGTTCAGGCAGCAGAGGTTGTTGCTCCAGTCCTAAGACTTGAGAAGACTGAGAGAAGAGGAACAGGAATCGGCAGGGGCCCAAGAAACGGGAGCAGAATCTATGAAATGTAATTTACTTAAACTGTCACTTCCTCTGCCTCCCCTGTCTACTTCCTTTTCAAGGTAGAGTTTCTCAGGACCCTAGGTATTTTTGCTACAAGCACATGAAATGTTCTTAGGCAGGGAAAAAAAGGATGAGGGTGGGAGATGAGGATAGGTCTAGGGTCTGGAGACAGGGTGTCCCTGGGATTCTCCACATGGGGGTTTGGTCAGTGTCCTTCAAATCTATTCTGAAGGGGAAAAAAGCAAAATAGAGACACCCCAAGAAACCAGTCACAGAGCCTCAGAATAGCACCAGAGCTGAAAGGGGTCCCAGCAGGAAGAGAGTTTTACTGAACTACCGTGTGCCAGATCTATATGCATATCTCTCAATCCTCAAGTGATCCTCTGAGTAGCTGTTTCAATTCCAGTTTACATATAAGGAAACAAGCTCAAAGAGAGACTGCCTTTTCAGACTTCACACAGGGAATCCATAAGTGGGCCAGGGTTTGGACCCAGCACCATGTCAGTAACCTCTAAAGTGGTACTCTTTCCACCGTGTTTTAGAGAGCAAACTGTACCACTCTGTCTGAGTTATCTAGTGTTGCTATACAGAAATACCACAAGTGGGTGGCTTTAATGAATAGAAATTTGTTTTCTCACAGTTTAGGAGGCTAAAAGTCCAAATTCAGGGTGCTGGCTCTAGGGGAAGCTTTTCTCTCTCTCTCAGCTCTGGAGGAAGGTCCTTGTCTCTTCTGAGCCTCTGCGCCTGGGCAGTCTTCATGTGGCTTGGCATCTCTTTTCCCCCATCTCTATTCTGCTTGCTTTTATACCCCTTTTATATCTCAAAAGAGATTGACTCAATTAACAACAAAAGGTTTACACACAAAAAAAAGACAAAAAGCACTCTTTGATGATTACCAGGGATGGGAGGGGCAGGGAGGGAAAATTACCGAATAGATAGAAGACACGTGTTAATATTAGTGAAGGGAAGGCAATACACAGTATGGGAGAAGTCAGCACAACATGACCAAGACAAGGGAGGACACTGAGAGGAGCGCAAGAATAAGGGGCAACTACGGTAAATCCTATAGTATAGACAATCTTGCAACAATAGTATTAACAAACAATAACTTATGAATGGATACATAGGTAGATATGCCAAGAGGTGTGGGAGGGTGTAAGGAAGCACACCCACCTGCAGATACAAGTTTGGTGGTGGATATTTCTACATACATAACTGTAGATATTCCTCATATATTAATATAGACAATAGAGCACACAAGGGGTACAGTCAGGGAAGCCTCTTAGACGTAACCAAACACCTGACGGATGAAGTTCCTAGGCTTGAAGGCAAAGGACCATAGATTTGGGGGACATCTACATCAATTATCGCAACATAGTTCATAAAGATAATGTTTTGCATCCTACTTTGGTGAATAACGTCTGGAGTCTTAAAAGCTTGCAAACGACCATCTAACACACAACTATTGGTCTCTTCCAGTCCGGAACAAAGGAGAATGAAAAAGCCAAAGACTCAAAGGAGCAATTAGTCCAAAGGACTAATGGACCACATGAACCACAGACTACATCACCCTGAGACCAGAAGAACTAGATGGTGCCCAGCTACCACTACTGACCACTCTGACGGGGATCACAACAGAGGGTCCCGGACAGAGCAGGAAAAAAATTAGAACAAAAAATCAAGATCACAAAAGAAACCAGGTTTACCGGTCTGACGGAGACTGGAGGAACCCCTGAGACTATGGCCCTAAGACACCCTTCTGACCTGGAACTGAAGCCATAACTGGACACCACCTTCCAGCCAAACAATAGACAAACCCATAAAATAAACAATACTGGAGAGGAACATGCTCCTTCGAAAATCAATTATAAGAGATCATATGGGCAATATTTGCCCAAAAGCAAGGATGAGAAGCTAGGAAGGGCAGAAGAAACCAGGGCGGAAATGGGAAGAGTGCTGACACATTGTGGGGAACGAAACCAAGGCCATGAATCACTTTATGTACAAACTATCAAATGGGAATCTAATTTGCTCTGTAAACTTTCGCTTGATGCACAATTAAAAAGAAAAAAAAGACTGACTCAAAATACACCCTACACTAATCCTGCCTCATTAACATAACAAAGATAATTCATTCCCAAACAGGATTATAACCACAGGCATAGAGATTAGGATTTACAACACATGTTTTTTGGGGACACAATTCAATCCATAACCCACTCTCTTGATGAACAGCAGAGTACAGATTCCCAGAGGGGAAAAGTTACTGGTTGAAGGGAGCAAGCAGGGACTGGTCCCAGAGTTACTTCCATCAGAAGCCAAAACTGGGACTGAGGTCTTTCAATACTTTTACTGTATTCTTTCCAGCACTATTACAAGGCCTGTGTTTTAGATGTCGCAGTCTGTTCTCGGTCCTGTCAGAAAATGACTGCCACTCTCTTGCAGGTAGGAGCCCCTCTGGAGCTGAGGCTGCTCTGGGTATTCATCTTTTTAACTTCTACTTCCATCCCTCTACATATCAAAAAAAAAAAAAAGAAAAAGAAAAATCCCGCTATGAGTCAATTCTAATTCATAGCAACACTATAGGACAGGGTAGAACCACCCCCATAGGACTTCCAAGGCTCTAATCTTTACAAAAACAGACTGCCACATCTTTCTCCTGCACAGCAGCTGGCAGATTCAAACCACTAACCTTTTGGTTAGCAGCTGAGCACTTAACCACTGAGCCATATCCACACAGTACTAAATATGAGTCTCCTAAGATCCCCAGACCATATGCTTGTTACAGTTTGCAAAGTGCTTTTCATATAGATCATCTCTTCTCAGCAGAGCAGAATAGCTAAGAGCTCAGGCTGTGCAGTCAGACCTGATTTCAAACCCTGGCCCTGCCACTTGCTAGCTGTGTGATCTCAGGCAAACCTCTCTGTGCCACGTTTTCTCAGCTGTAAAAAGAGACAGTATCAGTGCCTGTTAGGGATGATGTGAGAGCTAGGTAGGACAATTCTGTAAGGTGCCTGGCTGTTATGGATTGAATTGTGTCTCCCTCAAAAAAATGTGTATCAATCTCTAGGCCATGATTCCCAGGATTGTGTGATTGTCCACCATGTCATCATCTGATGTGATTTTCCTATGTGTTATAAATCCTACCTCTATGATTCTAATGAGGTGGGATTAGTGGCAGTTATGTTAATGAGGCAGGACTCAATCTACAAGATTAGATTGTGTTTTAAGTCAATCTCGTTTGAGATATAAGAGAAGCAAGCAGAGAGACGTGGGGACCTCATACCACCAAGAAAGCAGTGCAGGGAGTAGAGCACGCCATTTGGGCCCAGGGTTCCTGTGCAAAGAAGCTCCTAGACCAAGGAAAGATTGATGACAAAGACTTTCCCCCGGAGCCGACAGAGAGAGAAAGCCTTCCCCTGCAGCTGGCACCCTGAACTCAGACTCCTAGCTTCCTAGACTATGAGAGAATAAATTTTTGTTTGTTAAAGCCATCCACTTGTATTTCTGTTATAGCAGCACTAGATAACTAAGACACTGGCCCAGAGTAAGCACCGAACCAATAGAAGCGAATAAAACAGTACTGTGACCTATGTGGTTTTATCCTAGGTTTATAGGTACATAAGGGATGCTCAGAGAAGGAGTGACTTATATAGGCTACAGAGTAAATAAACTGGAGCATAAATTTAGTCTTTCTGAGTTTTTCTTTTTCCTGTCATCTGTCATTCAGTAACTGACTAAAAACTGTGTGCTCCCCAAGCTTTGTATAACATGCAATGTGAATACAGAAAAGGGGCAACTATCACCGTGCCTAGGAGAAAATCTGAGGTGAGCTTTGCCCATGAGCCTAAAAGGAGGAAGAACATTCCAGGCAAAAGGAATGGTGGATGCAAAGTGCTGAGGCAGGAATCCTGACATACTGAGGGTGTCTGAGTCATTTGGCTGGAGCCTGGAGTGCAGAGTGGGTGGTGGAAGAAGATCCTGGAAAGGTAGAAGTGTGGTCAGACTATAAAGGACCCTGGCTGCCATGTTAAGGGGGTTGCATCACCACCCTGGCAGTGGTGAGTCACTTCTGAAGGTTTCAGGAGATGGGACTGAGGACCATCCATGACCAGGGAAGGATTTGGGAGGGCCACTCTGACAGCTGTATGGGAGAGATGGAAGCCGCTGAAACAGTTTCAATGAAAGGTGATGAGACTTGAGCTAGGGAGTGACAGCAAGTGTGGCAAAGAGAGGAAAAGCACAATAAACTTGAAGTCGGAATGCTTATGCTCAAGTTCAAGTTCTGCCACTTACCAGCTGTGTGACCTTGTGCTAGTCACAGGGTCTTTGAGCCCTCATTTTCTCAAATGTAAGAATATGGATACTCATACCAACCTCAGGATCAAATAAGAATTTAATAGGTGCAAAGTGTGCTCTAAAAGCTGCCAAGTCCTATACAATTCTAAGAGAAATGTGATGCCAAACAAAGAAGAAATGGCAGGACTTGCAATGATTCCAGTTCTCCCCGACAGGTGATCCCCTCCCTGCCCACCTCAGTTATTTTGATACCTCGATGGTTCCTTCCCTGCTGTTCGGTCTGTTCTGCCCAGTGGTGCCCTGCCTTTTGGGGGGCCTGGGCGGGGGAGGTTGATCGTCACAGGCTGATAACTTTCGAAGTTTATAGTAGAAGGCTTCTGTCATCTCCTCCACTGTGGCTATGGGGGGAGGCCCAGCTGGCTGGCTTGGCTGCCCCTCAGCCTCCACAACAGTCAGATCCAGCCATCGGGGAGGGATCTCAAAGCACATACCAGGCTCAGAGTCCAGGCTGACCACCAAGAAGGGTTCTGTGATTTTCTCCTCCAGCCGTAGGCCCAGGAAGGAAGTAAGAGGGTCATCAGGGTGGCTGGTGTCCTTGGCCACCACCTTGACCTCACAAGGCAGTGAGAACTGGGCAATCAGATCCTCCAGGATGTAGCGCCGGCCATCGTTCATCTCCTCCACGAAACTGCCAGGGAAGTAGACAGGCAGCAGAATCCTTCCTTGGTCCTCTTCACACTCTTCCTCCTCAGCCTGGTCACTCAGCCGTTGACACACCAGGACGTCTGTGTCCCTGCCTTGGGTCCCACAGGCCTGGCTAGACCCCACCACCTCCAGCCGGTCACCCACAGCCAGGGAGGTGAACTCAGGGTTCTCCTCTTCCTCGCCATCATAGTCCCTCATGGCCACCACCCGAAGTGGCTGGCCTGGCTGGAAAGCACTCAGGAGGTCATAGGCTGTGGGGAACTCCCTTGGCCGCCGCCGCAGCTTGCCCTGATAGGCCCCAGAGATCATGAAGTGTCTGGGCACTTTCCGGCCCTTGCTTGAGGCCAGGACTCGCCAGCGTGGCGAGGCCTGTCCATAGATCCAGAGTCTCTGGCCTTGCTGCAAGGAGTCCACCCATGGGCTGAGGAAGATGCGGGGCCCATCTGGAACTTCCAGGATCTCCATGGGCACGGGGAAGGGGCCTTGCCTGGCCAGGACCTCACTCAACAGCAGCGGCTGGATGAAGTGAATGTGCTGGGAGGAGGCAGTGACGTCCTCCACGTCGACCTCCAGCGTGGAGGGGATCTTGACAATGGTTCTGCGCACTGTAGAGGGGGAGGTCAGTTTAGGACTGCGCTGCATGCTGCCCAAGGGCGGTTCCCCCCACCTCAGCAAAGGACATTGGTCTGGGCTTTGCTAACCTCTTTCCTGTTTTCATCTTTTCTTTCCTACCAGCATTTTCCTACTGTACCAGATTCCTTACCCACTCTTCATTCAAGCTGAAAACTAAACACTTATCAAAGTAGAGAGAATAGCATAGTGAACTTCCATGTACCAATCATCCAGCTTCAACATGTAACTCATGGCCCATCTTCTTTCATCTATGCCCACCCATCTACAACCCCCTCCACTGGATTATTATGAATCAAAATAATCTCATTATGTCATCTGTGGCCATTTCAGTATATATCTCTAAAATAAAGGGATGATTTAAAAAAAACAGGAAAAACCACAATGCTATTATTGCATCTAAATAATAATAATAATTTGATAATTCCTTAATATCATCAAATATCCAATCAGTTCACCCACCTTTAAAATTTTAATTTAATTTTGTATATAATTTTTGTTGTTATGTGCCATCAAGTCAATTCCGACTCATAGTTACCCAATGTAACAGAGTTGAAATGCCCCATATGGTTTCCTAAGCTGTAATCCTTTTTTTAAAATTTTATATAATTTTATTGATTTTGTTGTTGTTGTTGAGAATACACAGCATGTATACACAGCAAAACATACACCAATTCAACAGTTTCTACATGTACCATTTAGTGACACTGATTACATTCTTCAGGTTGTGCAACCCTTCTCATCCTCTTTTTCTGAGTTGTTCCTCTCCCATTAACATAGATTCACTGCCCACTAAGGTTCCTGTTATGGATTGAATTGTGTCCCTCAAAAATTGTGTATCAACTTGGCTAGGCCATGATTCCCAGTATTGCGTGGTTGTCTACCATTTTGTGATCTAATGTGATTATTTTATGTGTTGTAAATCCTACCTCTTTGATGTTAATGAAGCAGGATCAGAGGCAGTTATGTCAATGAGGCAGGGCTCAATCTACTGGATTAGGTTGTACCTTGAGTCAATATCTTTTGAGATATAAAAGGAGACGCAAGCACAGAGGTGAGGGACCTCATACCACCAAGAAAGAAGTGCCAGGAGCAGAACGTGTCCTTTGGACCTGGGGTCCCTGTGCTGAGAAGCTCCTAGACCAGGGGAAGATTGATGACAAGGACCTTCCCCCAGAGCTGACACAGAGAGAAAGCCTTGCCCTGGAACTGATGTCCTGAATTTCCACTTCTCACTTCCTAACTGTGAGAGAATAAATTTCTCTTTGTTAAAGCCATCCACTTGTGGTATTGCTGTTATAGCAGCACTAGATAACTAAGACAGTTCCCATCTAATCTTTCAAATTGCTGTTGTCAATTTGATCCCATATAGATAGTTCTTAAAACAGTATAATGCTCAAGGCAGACATTTTTTACTAATTGAGCTAAATTATTGTTTGGTTTTAAGACTTCAGGGGATATTTTTAGTTTAAGGTTTAAAGATTATCTCAGGGTGATAGTTTCAGTGGCTCTTCCAATTTACACGGCACCAAGAAGTCTGGAGTCCATGAGAATTTTAAATCCTGTTCTGCATTTTCCCCCTTTTGATCAGGATTCTTCTATGGAATCTTTTATCAAAATGTTCAGTAATGGTACCTAGGCTATAATCATTATGAGAGCAGATTGCCAAGTCTTTTCTCCCATGGAGTGGCTGGTGGGTTCAAACTGCCAACCTTTCAATTAGCAGCTGAGTGCTTAATCATTGTGCAACCAGGGCTCCTCAAATATAATTTTATAAGCTGCCTTTTATAATCCTTTCTAGATTTAAAGAGAGATAAAACCAAAACAAGAAAAACACTGACTAGATGACTTTTCTGGAGCCCTGGTGGTGCAGTGGTTAAGAGCAACAGCTACAAACCAAAAGGTCGGAAGTTCGAATCCACCAGCTGCTCCTTGGAAACCCTATGGGGCAGTTCTACGCTGTCCTATAGGGTCACTATGAGTCAGAATCGACTCAATGGCAACAGGTTTTTTTTTTTTTAAGTGACTTTTTAAGACCTCTTTAAAGTGTTAAAAAGCAAAGAGATCACTTTGAAGACTAAGGTACACCTGATCCACGCCATGGTATTTTCAATTGACTGATATGGATGCAAACGCTGGACAATGAAGAAGGAAGACTGAAGAAGAATTAATGCCTTTGAATTACAGTGTTGGCAAAGAATATTGACTATACCATGGACTGCCAGAAGAATGAACGAATCTGTCTTGGAAGAAGTACAGCAAGAATGCTCCTTAGAAGTGAGGATGGTGAGACTTCGTCTCATGTACTTTGAACATGTGATCAGAAGGGATCAGTCCCTGAAGGAGGACATCATGCTTGGTAAAGTGGAAGGTCAGTGAAAAAGAGGAAGACCCTCAGTGAGATGGGTTGGCACAGTGGCTGCAACAATGGGCTCAAACATAGCAACAGCTGTGAGGATGGTAAAGGACCGGGCAGTGTTTCATTCTGTTATACACAGGATTGCTATGAGTTGGAATCAACTCGATGGCACCTGATAACAAACGACTTGAGCAACTTGTTTCCCCCTTGGGCATTGAGTAGTATCCTGATGTATAAAACCAAGAGGTAACTGTGTAAGACTATGATGAAAACTAATCCATCACTGTGTTATTTGATCCGTACCATATGGAAAGCAGGATAAGGAATATTCTCCCCATTTTACAGATGAGGACGCTGAGGCTTAGAAGAGTGGTGACTTCTCTCAGGTCACATGTTGGGATTTTTGCTTTGCTCTGTGCCATATGAACTGATAATGATTGAAGCTGGGAGATGGCATATGAGGGATCATTATACTACTCTGTATGGTTTGGTTTTTTTTTTTAAGGATATAGTTTATGGATTACTTGAGCTGTCTCATCATCCAAGATGGCCTCCCAAGCCCTGCCCACCATTAAAACACTTGGCTCCAGATTGTGGTCTCTTATGACCATTTCCCACTAAGGGTCTAGGGCTCCCTGAGAAAGAGCTAACTTCAGCTCCTGGGGAAGAAATGTTCAAAATGAACCTGGAAAATCTTACGCCAGAAATCAAGAAAATCTATCCAAGACCATGCAGGTATGTCAAGAGGATTAAGGAGCCAACTTGAAAAGTCTCCCACTGGCCAAAGATCAGATAATTTGAGCATCAGTAATAACTTTATGGATTGAAACACAATGAAACATTAAATCTATGAGTTCATAGTGACTTTAAAAAAATAAACAGACTAAATAATCCCCTTGAAGAATGCCAGGAAGCCGGCTCATTATTTTAAAAGCTGGTAACAAAGGGAAAGAAGAATCTGTCCTGTATTTCCTATACAAACTCCACCTAAGAGTAACCAAAGAGTTGATGAGGGGAAGTTTCATTTTATAGAAGTTTCCCAGCAAATAAATGAAGAAAGAATGATAGGATTAAAATATCACTATTTTGCAATTCCTAATGAAATACTGAATCTAGGCAACGGTCATCAAGAGCCCGTCACACCTCAAAAACAGCAGCAATGAGAAATGTGTGCCTCTTGCATTTGATCAAGTCTCTAGATCTAAGGACCAGTTTACAGGGATGCAGAAAAGAGTTAACATAGCAAGTCTGAACCTGCTCTCCTTAGAAAGGCCTGCTTGCAACATTGGCTGGCATATGGGAACCTAGATTTCAGGAGGGTTCCCACCATTCTCTGATAGAATGACTCACTGTGTCTAAATTATTCATACAAAAAATGTGGTTTATTCTGAACACCTGCTCTTTCTAGGAATCTGGAATTTTGGTACATGCTAGGCAGAGAGTGCCTACATGATCACCCCCCTCCTCAATAAAAACCGTAGGCACTGAGTCTCTAATGAGCTTTGCTGGTAGACAACACTTCACAAGTGTTGTTACAACTCGTTGCTGGAGGAATTAAGTGTGTCCAGTGTGACTCCATTGGGAGAGAGAGGACTCTTGGAAACTTGCACCTGGTTTCTCCAGATTTCACCCCATGCACCTTTTGCCTTTGCTAATTTTGCTTTGTATCCTTTCACCTTAAGAAATCATAGCTGTGAGTATGACTATATGTTGAGTCCTTTGAGTCTTCTTAGCAAATCATCAAGCCTGGGAGTGGTTCTGGGGTACCCCGGCACAACAGGAAATACAGGGGACAGAGAAACATGTTAAACCCTGCTACAAGGATGCAGGCAACAAAATTCAAAATATAAGAAACCTTATAGAGCAAAAGGCCTAGTTTCTTCAACAAAAATTACAAGAAAAATAGAGACGGAAAAGAAACCTATAGATTAAAAGACGCTTAAGAGACATAACTGCTAATGGCAACATGTGGACCTTATTTGGATCCTGATTTGAATAAACTATAAAAAAATTTATAGAGGAAATTCAAACATCAAATGGATATTTGATGCTATTAAGGAGTTACAGTTAAATTTTGGTGTGATAACTGTATTGTGGCTCTGTTTTTTAAAGTCATTTTTTAAAAGAGACATTGGAGTATTTACAAAAGAAATGCTATGATATCTGGATTTGCTTTGAAATAATCAGGTGGGGTAGGATAGGGAGAGTGGGGATGGGCAGAGATGACACAAGATAGGCCATGATTTGCTAATTATGATGTTGGATGATGGGGTCATTATACTACTCCTTCCCTACTTTTGTATATGTCTTAATTTTTCTATAATAAAAAAGCTTTAAAATATTTTTTTTAATAGGCCAAAGAATCCCCACTTGGCTCTGTAGTTGGCCAGCTATGCTGACTCTCTCTAGGTAACTGCCAGGGAGTAGAATCTCAAACTCTGTACTCGTGGGAAGCAGTCCTCATGGCACCCATTCTTCTTTCTGCTCAGGCTTGGTCTGCGACTGGCCACACTCAGACAGGTCCTGCCTCTCTGTTTCACCACCCTGCTCTGGTGTGCTGCCCCTAGCCTGCACTGAGGAATGTCCTCAGAAACAACCCATGAAGCCAGCTAGGGGATTCCCTCAGACACAGTGTCCTATCTTCTAGGACCTTCAGGAATGATTCTGCTCTCCCCCAGAGTCATAAAAGTATACTGCTCCTCGGCACTGGTCATATTTTCACATTGTGACACTGTGTATCTTTGGGCCAGCTGCTAGCAAGCTCAGAACCTAACTTTTCCCAGTTCTATAAAGTACATGGGACCTCACCCTTACCTTATCTCATTTTCTTATTTCCGTTTACACCTAATTAATTTTCTACTTATTTGGGAATCTTTATACTGTTACATTGTGTATATTGGGTAAAATGCCTGAAATCCCTAGACTCTCCACTTCGTGGGGGGGTCTTCCATCAGAGCAGCTCCCCAGGTCGCTCCTCTCCCGGCTTATCCCACCCAGCTCCCCCAGCCTGGGCAACTCACTTTGCATGATGGCCTGGATCTCATATTGGGGCTTCAGGATCAGTGAGCTCCAGGGCAGGGTGGGGCAGGTGACGGGGAGGTCCCTCAGGGCTGGTTCCTGCACGGCCTGGAGCAGGGTCCGAGGGACACCAGGCTCCCATATCCAGAAGAGCCCCTTCTGGGACAGGGGCAGGTGCAGAGTGACCTGCTTGGCACCTGCGCTCAGGACACAGCGGGCACAGCAGGTCCCCAGGTGCATTTCCACAGCCTCAAGTAAGAGAGGCTGGTCCTCGGGCACCACGTTGTTTTTTATGGAGATGCTGTAGGACGATATGAAGAAAACGGGCAGCGGCTTGGAGCTCTGTTTTGTGGCAGCGATCAGCTCCTCCAGGTTTCCGTAGCTCTGGGAGCAGGTGAGGGGGCTGAAGTGGCCTGTGGGGTACAGCAGAAGGCAGGAGAGTCACTGGACATCAGTGGGCAGGCCTTTGCTAGGCCCCGTGCTGCACACACCAGGCCCAGTCTGGCGTGTGATAACCCAGCCAGCATCTCTCGAGGGTAGATGCCAAAGGTGGGCCTGCATCTGCACATCCGGGCTGCAAGGCTGAGGGGTGGGAGGCAGTGAGTGACCGTGTGTGAATGGACAGTGAGGGGCAGGAATGGGCAGCTTTTCCTGAGACAGACAGACACGGACACAGGGACTCTCTCCAGAGACACAGAGAACAGAACAGGAATCTGTTCCCCAGCAAACATACCAGTAGCTCAGCATTTTCCTACCTCCCGAGCCCCTGTGTGTCTCTAACTTTGCCAACTTGTCATTTCTCCTAGATGCCTCACCACTGCTGCAATCCCACACATCTAACATGGAACCTGCTCTCCCCCTTCCATGTAATCATCTCCACCCTGGGCAGCACCACTGTCCATCTCTCCCAAACCAGAAACCCGGAAGCTATTGGCCACAGTGAGCCTCTACCCTTAGGTCCTATCTCCCTTTTGGCTGCCTGACTGCTCTCCCCAACCTGGCTCTCCCCCCACCACATCCGTTGTTCGCCTGCCACCGACTGTCCTAAAATACCCCACTTCTGGATATTCATCATGCCTGGGATTTTCCTGCCCAAAACGCACAACCTGAACCTAATCAAGGAAACATCAAACAAGCCCAGACCGAGGAACATTCTACAAAAGTACCAGTCTGAACTCTTCAAACATGTCCATGTCAAGACAAGGAAAGCCTGAGGAACTGTTCCACCTGAAGGAGACGAGAGAGACAGGACCACTGAATGTGATGTGTGCTCTGGGACTGGATTCTGAATCGAGGGCAAAAACCGTTGCAAAGGGCCTTATTAGGACGCTTGGTGGAATTTGAATATAGACTGTGGATTAGACAATAGTATTGTATCAACATTAAATTTCCTGAATTTGATCATTGAACTACAGTTTTGTAAGAGAATGTCCTTGTTCTTACGATACACGCTGTAGTATTCAGGGCTAAGGTGCATCATGTCTGCACTTTATTCTCAAATGGTTCAGGAAAAATATGTATATTATACACATACAGTAATATATACTCGTGTGTATATGTGTGTTTGTGTATGTGTGTGGAGAGAGAAAGCAAGCGTAGCAAAATGCTTAAAATTGGTAATCTCGATGAAGGAGTTCTAGCAAGTCTTCTGTAAATTTGAAACTATTTCAAGATAAAATCAAAGCTCTGAAAATACCAACTAAAACATATCATTTCCATGTTTAAACCCCTCATTGGCTCTTCAGTGCCTTCAAAATAAAGACCAAAAAGTGTTAGCGCACCACACAACCCCCTGGTGATCTGGATCCTGCTTACCTTCCTGCCACTCACCCTCTCCTTAGATCCACGCCCTCACATGCCCCAGCCCAGTAATCACAATAAAGATAAGAAGAGCAAGCCCTGAGAGTGAGCTTACTCTGTGCCACGCCCTGTTCTAAGCACTTTATACATATCATTTAATCCTTTCATTAAGCATAACTATCCCCGTTTCACTAAAGAATAAGGCAAGGCACAGAGAGATCACGTGAACTTGCCAAGGCCACAGCTAGTAGCTGGCAGATCTGGGACTTGCAGAAGGTGGCCGGCTCCAGGGTCTGGGCCCACGATCTACCAGGGATGCCTCCTGCATTCACTGAGCTGCTTAGGGTTTCCTGAACACCAAATGCAGTGTGCACATGCCACTCCCTCTACCTGGAATCCTTCCTCTAGCTGGTCTGTCCTTCAAACCCAGCTCAGGTGTCACCTCCTCCAGGAAGTCTTCACAGGCCACTGAGGCAGGGTGACTCCCACACAGAGTTCTCTCTAATGCTTGTGCCTACTTTACTGCCCTCCTCTCATTGTCTGTTCCTGTGTCCAATCCCCTGCCATCCTAGAAACTCTCCACCAGAGAGGGCTGCACCCAGTCCATCTTGTGCCCCCACCCAGCACAAGGCCTGGCACGCCATCGGTGTCGGGAAATGTTCAGTAAGTGAATGTGTGAGTGAACACAGAGACAGACCCCCTGGACAAAGACAAACACGAAAAACACAAAGTGCCAGCAAGAGGCAGACGTGGTCAGAGGTCCAAACGGAGACGGGGGCAGCCACACCAGGCTTGGCATTCCCGGCTGTGAGGCTGAGCAATGGTGGGCGTGACAACCTCGTGTGCAAACCCAGAGGGGTAGGAGTTCTTGCCAGGGTTGGCAAGCCTGCAAGTGTGTATCCATAGGCATGCTTGGAGGGTGCCAGGCACTTGGCGATACTGAGGTGCCCATCTTACCCTTGAAGTTGGGGGTGAGCTCCATGGTCTCACCCATTCTCAGGCTCTCACAGATCACCTTCTGGAGGCAAATCTGGGTGACCTTGATCAGGTCCCCTGTGGAGAGGCAGCACTCATTTCCAGAAATCTCGTAGATGGAACCTGCGGAGACACAGACTCAGTTTTCCTGTTCAGCAAGGCCCAAGCACCGAGTGGCCTGTGCCCTGTTCCCCGAAAAGCTCTGCTCTGCCACAGGTTTGCATACACTGTACCTATGCCTGGAGTGTCTTTGCCTGCCCTTCCCACCTAATGCTGCTCACTGGCTCAACTGTCCTCAGGCTCTCAGGTTGGCAGAACCCCTCGCAGGGGCACTTCTCCAGCTCTTTTCACACCTTCTAGGGCTACTAGGGCCGGTCCATCTCAGCAACACTGCAGCCAGCGCAAGGCCTGGCCTCTAGATAGGTGTTAACTCAAGAATGAGGAAATAATCCACTGAATCCCGACTCCCTGATAGTACAGCTATGAAATCAGGCTCAAGATCACACAGAGCTAGGGTTGGTACCCAGCTCTCCAGCTGACGGGGGACAGGAAACTACAGGTGGGCGGGGCCTTGGAGGCCACCTGACCCTTCCCCCACCCCACCCCCGCAGCAGTGCAGCCCCAGCGGGGCCCTTATCATCAGCCCTGAGAAAATGATGAAAATCCCACCCTTCTTCCCAAGGAAAAACCCCAAACCTGTTGCCATCGAGTCGCTTCCAACTCATAGCAACCCTATAGGACAGGGTGGAACTGTCACATAGGTTTCCAAGGAGCGGCTAGTGTACTCGAATTGCCGACCCTTCGGTTAGCAGCAGAGCTCGTAATCACTGCACCACCAGGGCTCCATGTACAGACTCATAAAACACACAGTTTCAGAGGGCTGGATCCTCTAGGCTGGTGAGAACAGCAGCTGCGGTGCTGAGCGCTTACATTCCATGGGGCGCTGTGCAAAGTGTTGTAGAGGCAGCATCGCATTTAAGCCCCATGACTGCCTTAGGAGGGGCAGTTTCTAACTCCTAAATAAACAACTTCAGAGAGGTTGAGTGAGTTGACCAAGATTTTCAGCTAATAGGAGGCAAAATTGGGCTGCAAATTCAAGTTTGTTTGCTTCCAAAGCCAGTGCTCTTAATCACGCAGCTGTACCGCCTCTGGGTGTCCTGCCTAGTGGCCTCCCCTCATCAGTATCGCCATCTGTCCTCTAACATTCTCACCCCATCGACGCACCCGCACCCCGTCAGGTTCTTCCTCTCTTATTCCCTTTACTTCTGCTACTTCCACCACCCCATGAACCCAGGTCAGGCAGAATGGGGAAACGCGAGTATTGTGACACCTCGCATGCGCAGCTATCGGGAGTTGGGGAGAACTAGATCCTTGCGCCGGGGGTCGAGTGAACAGATCATAGGCGTCTGCACAGAACCTCCAGCGGTACAGCCAGGATTTGAACCCATATCTGTCAGAGTCCCAAGTGGACCTGGCGCGATCCACTGTGTGGCGATGGCCCAACCTGCCCCCTCGGTCTAGGACCGCACTTGGTGCTTCAGAGCACTTTAAAGGAGGGTGCTGTGGGTGAGCAAGTTTTCCTCTGGTGGGGACAGGTTGGGTCAAGGCACTCATCATTAGTTTGCTCTCTAAGAAAGGAGACTGCACCCCCACGCACAGCGCGTTTCGGTTCCCTCTCTCTTCCCACCCTTCCTCTAGGACTCCCACAGCTCCTTCCTCCTCCCCCCTCCCCTAAGAGAAGCGCCGGGGGCGCCCTCCCACCTCTGAGCCCCCGTGCTTTCCCTTCCACCGCCTGTCAATTACCTCCCTCTAGCTCTTTCAAGCAACTGCTAGTGACTGAGCCCCTGCTAGGCGGGCTGTGGCCTGAGGGCAGATGCGCGGAGCCCCACAAGGAGCAGAGAGTCGGCTCAGGGAAGTCGTCCGACGGAAAAGCCGTTTAAGCCGAGAACTGAAGAGCTGGTCAAGTGACAGACTGCCCATTGCCGAGCAGAGACTAAAGGACCAGAGATGGGATGGAAGGAGGGAGGGAAGGGAGTCAGGGGGCACAGGGAGTGGAGGGCAAAAGACAAGCTGCCGGACCCGGCACTTAAGACAACTGTTGTGCGTCATGGGCGCCCTAAATCAAAGCTGCCCTCAAAGCTGCGGTTCCGGCCCGCTTTCGCTCCCTGCCACCCACCCTCGGTGCCTGAGCGCAGCGACTTTTCATCACCGCCCTGCGGGGCAGGTCAGAGCCCGCTATTCCAACGAGCAGAAGCTGAGGCCGGAGAGGCTGCATGTGGCCCCAGGTCACACGGCTCCGCCGGTGGTGGAGATGCGAAGCTGAGGCGCAGTTTCCCGGGTTCTAACGCCCTTGCAGGGCTCCAACCCGCACATCCTGGTTGAGCCTGGCCGCGGCGGGGCCGGGGAAGGGGCTCTGGACCCACTCACTCTGAAAGTAGACCCCTGAGCAAACGCGCAGCACACGCGGGAGGGAGGCGGGGTCCAGGGTGCGCACGAAGTCCTTCAGCTGCATGGGCTCCATGTCGCGCGGCTAGCGGGCTAGGGAATGAGACGCCCGCCAGCACCCCGAGTGGTAGCTCCACTGCAGCCCCGCCCAGCCGGGGCGGGGTGGGAGGAGCCGCCGCCGAGGGGCCGGGGACCCAGCCCGCGCTGTTGGGCATGCCATTTCCCGCTCCCAGCCTCTGTTTCCTCATCTCTAGAATGGGAGTTGCAATACCTACGTCTCACGCTGGTTGCACGGTTGAGAGCGTCAGATCAGGTCCTAATAGAGGAAAAGCCGATCTCCTCCTCCCCCGTGGTCAGTGATGTACCCTTTGGGGGTTGCTGTTGTTAGCTGCCGTGGAGTCTGCCGGACCCCTGGTGACCCCTTGCACAACGGGAATTGGATTGTTGTCATCCATAGGGGTGATTTTGGCTGATTTTCGGAAGTAGATCACCAGGCATTTCCTCCTAGTCTGTCTTAGTCTGGAAACCAAAACAATCCACTGCCATCCAGTCGACTCTGACTCATAGTGACCCTGTAGGACAGAGAAGAACTGTCCCATAGGGTTTTCAAGGCTGTAATCTTTACCGAAGCAGACTGCCACATCTTTCTTCCTCCGAGGGGCTGGTGGGTTCAAACTGCGGATCTTTTGGTTAGCAGCCAAGCGCTTAACCACTGCGCCACCAGGGCTCGTCTTAGGCTGGAAGCTGCTCTGATATCTGTTCAGCATCACAGCAACACGCGAGCCTCCACTGACAGACGAATGGTGGCTGTGCAAGAGGCACATTGGCGGGAAATCGAACCCTAGTCTCCAGCATGGAAAGCCAGAATTCTACCGCTGAACCCCCACTGCCCTCAACCCAGTGGGAGAGCCGAATGATAAAAATAAAGGAGGAGTTCCAGACGCTAAGGCACCCACCCCCCTGCTCCCAGTCAGATGGAGGAAACATGCCCGCGTTGGCCTTGTGGATTTCTGGGTCTGATAGGAGCGAGGCGGCCCAGCTTCCAGGAGTACACGGAGCGCACGTGAGACACAGCTCTGCCCTTCTGGTCAGAGGAGGGATCTGTAGTGTCAGCTCTCCTAAATCGCCCTACAGGACACTCCATGGCCTTCTACTTGGACACCTCCAGTAATGGGGCGCTCATTACAATTCCAGGAAACCCAAACTCTCTTTGGATGAATCTAGTTAAAAATTCTCCCGTGAGCTAAACAGAAATCTGCTTGGGAGACAGACCAACCAGTTCTCCTGACCACGGGATAGGCTTTCCTATTGCCCTGCCCCTACTCCCAACCAGACCAACCGAATCCCAGCTCTTTCTCTTGCTTGTTATATGACTTTAGGCAAGTCACTTTGGTTTTCTGAGCCTGTTTCCTCATCTGTAAAATGGGGAAAGGATCTTTCTTTTGCTAGCTGTGAGGATCAAATGAGATGATATAAGTATTATGCAAAATGCTTTATTTAGTTTTTTTTGTCATTATAAAACAAGACTTTTCTAACCAGAGATAATAACAAAAGTTTAAAAATAAAAGGAATACATCCTAATTAATAAACATTTGACAAATAAAAAGAGGACACACATTCTTTTCCCACCATGCAAATATAGTTACTACCAACATTTTGCTGTTTCTTCTAATTTTTACTTTTGCCTGAGTTTTGTTTTTTTAAGTAATTTTCCCATCTTTTTTTAAATTATTATTGTACTTTAGATGAAGTTTTACAGAACAAACTACTTCTCATTAAACAATTACTACACATATCGTTTTGTGACATTGGTTACCAACCCCATGACATGTCAACACTCTCCCTTCTCGACTTTACCAGCTTTTTTAAAGTAATTTTTGATTTACATAAAAGTTACAGATACAGTAGAGATTTCCTGTATATCCCGCATTTAGTTTCAGATTCCCATAATGTTGCCTTGGCACATTTGTCAAAACTAAGAAACCAACATTGGTACATTACTACTAACTAAACTCTAGAATTTATTCAGATCCCATCTGTTTTTCTACTAGTGTCCTTTTTCTGTTCCAGGACGCAATCCAGGATCCCACATTTCATTTAGTCATCATGTCTCCTTAGTCTCCTCTGGTCTGTGACAGTTTCTCAGTCTTTCCTTGCTTTTCATGACCTTGGCAGTCTTGAGGAGTACTGGCCAGGTATTTTTACAGTGTCCCTTAATTTGGGTTTATCTGATGTTTTCTTCATGACTAGACTGGGTGGGGTTAGAGTCCCTGGGTGGCGCAAACCGTTACACGCTCCACTACTAACCAAAGTGTTGGGAATTTGAACCTACTCAGAGGCACCCAAAAGTACTGAAGGAAGAAGTCCAAGCTGCACTGAAGGCAGGGCTTCGAACAGGGTGGAATTTGCATTTCCACCCGAGATATACTGAATCAGAATTTACATTTTAACAAGATACCCAGGTGATTCTTTCGTGTGTGTTTGTGTGTGTGTGTGCGTGTGCACTTTAGGTGAAAGTTTACAGAGCAAGTTAGCTTCTCATTAAACAATTAATACACAGATTGTTTTGTGACATTGGATGGCAACCCTGCTATTTGCCAACACTCTCCCTTTCTCCACCCCGGGTTCCCTAGTTCCATTTGTCCAGTTTTTCTGTCTCTTCCTGCCTTCTCATCTTTGCTTTTGGGCTGGTGTTGCTCATTCAGTCTCGTATACATGATTGAACTACGAAGCACATTCTTCATGTGTGTTATTGTTTGCCCTATAGACCTGTCTCATCTTTCGCTGAAGGGCGAAGCTCAGGAGTGACTTCAGCACTCAGTTAAAAGGGTGTCTGGTCCAGGTGATTCCTGTGTAGATTCTGATTCAGTATATCTGGGGCGAAAAGGCAAATTCGCATCAGGAGTTCAAACCAGAACAAACCAGTTCAAAGACCTAACTGAAGGCAATGACAAAAAACAAGGCTGCAGGAATTGATGGAATACCAATTGAGATGCTTTGGCAAACAGATGCAACACTGGAAGCACTCACTTATCTATGCCAAGAAATTTGGAAGACAGCTGCCTGGCCAATCAATGGAAAGAGATCCGTGTTTGTGCCCATTCCAAAGAAAGGTGATCCAGTGGAATGCAGACATTATCAAACAATATCATTAATATCACATGCAAGCAAAATTTTGCTGAAGATAATTCAAAAATGTCTGCAATGGTACATCAGCAGGAAACTGCCAGAAATTCAAGCCAGATTCAGAAGAGGACCTGAAATGAGGGATATCATTGCTGATGTCAGATGGATCCTGGCTGAAAGCAGAGAATACCAGAAAGATGTTTATCTGTGTTTTAGTGACTATGCAAAGGTGTTCGATTGTGTGAATCGTAACAAATTATGAATAACATTACAAAAGACAGGAATTCCAGAACACTTAATTGTGCCCATGTGAAACCTGTACATAGACCAAGAGGCAGTAGTTCAAACAGAACAAGGGGATACTGCATGGTTTAAAATTGGAAAAGGTGTGCGTCGGGGTTGTATTCTTTCACCATAATTATTCAGTCTGTACGCTGAGCAAATAATCTGAGAAGCTGGACTATATGAATAAGACCACAGCACCAGGATTGGAGGAAGACCCATCAGTGGCATCACTAGGGTTGGTGTCACCCAGTGCAGTAATTTATGGTGTTGGCCCCCCAACATGGACCTCCTCCCGTACTAGACCATACAGAATCCTTAGTAATGTTTCTTGTTCTACTGTTAGTCATAAATTGTAATTCCCTTATATCACTGAATGTAATGGCAGTAGTAGAGACATAAACAACTAGCAAAATTAAATTACCTTTAAATTACAGTATTATACACACAGGCTAAATATACTTACATTTACATAGTTTCATGTGATTAAGGTCAAAATTCGGTAAGAAAACAATATAATTCAAAGTAAAAACTTTTAAGAACTACGTCAAAATTATGTTCATTTTAACATTAAACTTTACCATTACATGAGATACATTAATGGATTAGGTTTGTATAATCAATAACAGCCCAAATAATATAGAAATTGTAGACAAATGCATATGGAAATGTATTCATAAATGAAATAATACCATAAAAATAAACAGGAACAAATACACACGCATTTCAGCACTTAATGAATGTCTCTACTAAATCAGAACTTTCCTTTCCTGGCCTTCAAATCTTCTAACTTGTGAATCACTTCATTGAAATCAATGCCTTTTACCAACTGCCTTAGTCATCTAGCGCTGCTATAACAGAAATACTGCAAGTGGATGGCTTTAACAAAGAGAAATTTATTTCCTCACAGTAAAGTAGGCTAAAAGTCCAAATTCAGGGCATCAGCTCCAGGGGAAGGCTTTCTCTCTCTGTTGACCGTCTTATCAATCTTCCACCGGACTAGGAGCTTCTCTGCGCAGGGACCTCGGGTCCGAAGGACACACTCTGCTCCCAGCACTGCTTTCTTGGTGGTATGAGGTCCCCAACTCTTTGCTTGCTTCCGTTTCCTTTTATTGCTTAAGATAAAAGGTAGGGCAGGCCATACCCTGGGGAAACTCCCTTTACATTGGATCAGGGATATGACCTTAGTTAGGGTATTATACAATCCCACCCTAATCCTCTTTAACATAAAACTACAATGACAAAATGGAGGACAACTATACAATACTGGGAATCATGGCCCAGCCAAAACTGATACATACATTTTTTGGGGGACATAATTGAATCCATGACACTAACTCACCTTTTATTTTTTTTTAATTGTGCATTAGGTGAAAGTTTACAGAGCAAATTAGTTTCCCATTTGATAGTTTGTACTTAAAGTGTTTCATGACCTTGGTTTCATTCCCCAGAATGTGTCAGCACTCTCCCTGTTTCTGTCCTAGATTCCTCGTTTCCTTCCGTCCTGATTTTCTCCCGCTTCCCGCCTTTCATCTTTGCTTTTGGGCAGCTAATGC